ACATGATGATACCCAGCTATACCTCTCTTTTCATCCTGATGATCCCTCGGTTCCAGCTCGTATCTCAGCCTGCCTGTTGGATATTTCACACTGGATGAAAGATCATCATCTTCAGCTGAACCTCGCAAAAACGGAAATGCGTGTAGTTTCTGCCAACTCGACTCTACACCATAACTTTTCAATCCAGATGGATGGGGCAACCATTACTGCATCCAAAATGGTGAAAAGCCTTAGAGTAACGATTGATGACCAACTAAACTTCTCTGACCACATTTCTAGAACTGCTCGATCGTGCAGATTCGCACTCTATAACATCAGAAAGATCCGACCCTTCTTATCTGAACATGCAGCTCAACTCCTTGTTCAAGCTCTTGTTCTCTCCAAACTGGATTACTGCAACTCTCTACTAGCTGGGCTTCTAGCTAACTCTATCAAGCCTCTTCAACTGCTCCAGAATGCAGCAGCACGAGTTGTCTTCAATAAACCTTAACGAGCACATGTCACTCCGCTGCTAGTCCGTTTGCACTGGCTGCCAGTTGCTGCTCGCATCAAATTCAAAGCTCTGATGTTTTCCTACAAAGTGACCTCTGGCCTTGCTCCTTCTTATCTGCTCTCACTTCTGCAGATCTATGTGCCCTCCAGAAACTTGCGTTCTGTGAATGAACGTCGCCTCGTGGTTCCATCCCAAAGAGGGAAGAAATCACTTTCGCGAACGCTCACGCTCAATCTGCCCAGTTGGTGGAATGAACTCCCTAACTGCATCAGAACAGCAGAGTCACTCACTACTTTCAAGAAACGACTAAAAACTCAACTATTTAGTCTCCACTTCACTTCCTAATCTGCAATTGCCTCTTTGAATATCACACTAACTGTACACAAAAAAATAAAAAATAAAAAAATACTAATATCACTAATACTTCCCTTCTAAGACTTTACAGACCTGAAACTTGCCTATAGCACTTATTCATTGTTGCTCTTAGTTGTGTAAATTGCTTCCTTGTCCTCATTTGTAAGTCGCTTTGGATAAAAGCGTCTGCTAAATGACTAAATGTAAATGTAAATGAATGTAAAAAGTTCAATGCAAAGGGAGACCTTGGTTTTTACAGAGTTAGCTTAGCAAAGCCTACAATGAACGACATTTGGGGACTACAAAAAATACTTCCGCCCCCTGTGAGATCACAAAGGTTAATTTACTGCGCACACAAACTGCGCAGCTAAGGGCCGTGGCCAGAGGCGCTGTAACGTTATAGCAGAGATGAAGCTAAAAATGCATTCAAACACTGCTGTTTCCACAGAGCTTCTTCTGTTTCTGTTTTTGGGCTTCCAAATGACATGACACAAAGACAGAAGTGCTTACAGTTCAATATTAATTATGTTCCAGAGAATTATAAAATACATAGCAAGCATGATTTGACAAAACAGCTTCCAGAATCTCTTCTATAGTTCAGTTCAGGATTTGGCTAAAATCTCCTCAAAGCAGAAGCTATGAGCTACTACCTGTACAACCTGTAAGTGTTTTTATTTGTTTAAATTGATCATGTACATGAACAGTGTCTAGCATTAACGGTATGCTGTAGCAACGATGTAAACAATGGGAAATGCTGCTTTGTGCAGCAAACGATTTAGCTACAAATTTATAGTAATCAGTCAAACAGCTGTAAACACACACACACACACACTCCACCAGCATGTTCGTGTCTCATATGTGTGTGCGCGACTTTGCAATGATTGTCTTTAGGCAGCTTTTCCATGTTTCACATCTCAGATAATGAAGTCCCAAAAGTTATGTGGATGATTTATATTACTTACACCTGCATATTCCCGATATATGTGAAAGGCGTGGTTTAATGTGTAGAGTTAAAAAAATACGGGATAGCTCACCTGACTCGTGGTAGCAGCAGAAAAATAAATCAAGGCTCACACAGGTCGCATCCCACATCTTGTGCTTTTTTTCTGTCATGATATATTACAGGAAATAACAATCCAAGCATCAGAGAAAAAGAAAAAAAACTCCCGTGCACATTCGCTTGTTACAGAAAGTTCACACATTCACACACACATAGACACACACACACACACACAATGGCAAACGCTCTTAAAGGAGCCGCACCCCATTTAACTTGTTAAGCCTAGTTCACACTACAGGATTTTAAACATCAGCAGATCGCTGTGCTGTTCACACTACATGACTTTACTTTGTGTCTTTTAATCTCTGTGGTGTTCACACTACGCAACACTCCGTGAACGATCCACAAGAGGGGGGTCACACACTACATGATCTGACAACATCTCATTCCCCATCAGCTCATTCAAGCTACCAAACCACAGCCAATGAAAATTTGAAGGAGGAGTCGTCAGAAAAAGCTGAACACTATTGGCTGCTTGTGTGCTGATGACATCACTGACAGCGTTTCAAGCTTTGGAGAAAGCATTTAAAAACATCGTCAAATCAGCTGGTTCGAGTGGATAGATACACAGAGAGTTTTTCATTTTTGTAATTATATAACTCTTTGAAATAAAACTAACATATTTATAACACCCTGCCGTTTTCTAACTATCCGTGTATATCTTTCTGACATTGTTATTTTTTTTTTTATTACAAAACAGTAAAGAACTGAGCATTTCTGCCTTATATTACCATATGGGTCAAAATGACTGCATGCATGTCTGATACTTTTCGCTGTGGCTAAAAATGTGTGCATTTTCTTGCCTGGCAACTTCCTGCTAACATAAACAAAACTTTCTGATGGCAAAAACATCAATTTACTTCAGATATCTTTCAAAACAGCATATTCTGTGCAGTGAAATAGCTCCTGTTTGAAAGTGAAAATGAAAGCCAAGACCTTTAAGTGTTTTAGTATCTTAACTACATATTTATAGGCTGTATTACCAAAAAAAGATTATATTTTTAGGGTAATGGTGTCACTAAATATGATGCCAGACATTCAAAGCTTAATTTTAATATCTCAATAATAGCTTTGAATGTAAATATGTTGTGACAATATGGCGTTTTATATGAGAACAGTCAGAATGAGCAGTATGGTAATTCTAATAGTTACACAATTCTAGATCCACTGTTAATATAGCCTACTCTCATGTCTGTGCTAATGCAGAATGAAGCGAGTGCACCGATGCCCAATCTGACCAATCACAGATGTTTCTGCTGAGCTCCTGAACACACAGGCATTCAGCTCATGCTAATATGCTCTCTCATTGGCTGCAGCTCGTCACTACATCTGACCACACGTGGGGTTGAGTCGGCCGACTGCTCTGGAATATTTAGCATGCTGAATGTTGGATTTCCGTCTGCGAGGTGTCGGCGACGCGTCAGCGAGCCTTGTTGATGCGTTGTTCAGTAGTTCACACATAAAGAGCGCAGAGCGCCGAGCACCCGCAGATTTCTTCCTGATCACAGCCCGATCTGTCGGCGAGCTCGTTAACTTCCAAATCGGGCTCAAATCAGGCTTAAAATCCTCTAGTGTGAACTAGACATTACAGACACTTGTCAGATTTTATTTTAGTGAGCAGGCAGGAAATTGACTGATTGTTTACACAGCAGAAAAGCGCATGCTTTTACGGGCGTGACATGGAGCCGATCTGCGAATCGCAGCACATCATGACGATGACCAATCAGTCACTTAAGGGCGAGCCTTTCAGAGGAACTAGGAAATATGACAGTCAATTTCATGTTAGCTGAGTAGCTGTGTATAATCAAAGTGAGATATATGAAAAAATAACGTGATTTCTTTCAAGTGAAACATGAGCACACATTGCTTTGCATCTTATAAACACAACCAAGCATTAAAATTACATTCTGCACCACCCCTTTAAATAAAATCAAATCTACCCATTTTAGCGAATCGCTAACAAATGAACAGGAAAGTTTGCCACACTGTAAATTTATATTTTTGATGACTTTTTTTTTTTTGAATCAAATGGAATTTCCAGTCATCTTTACTTGCATGAATCAAACTGACTACAAATATTTATAAGTAATTTTTTATATAACTTTATAAATTAAGTTGAAACCTTTAACTTATTCAAATATGTAAAAGGAACATTATGGTATGGAAGGAGGGGACGTATCCCCACCAATATCCACCAATTACTGAAATGTCCCTTCCAATAATTTCATTGACTACAAAATGAAATAATGCTTCATTAACTTGTAACCTACATGTGCACAAAGTCAAGTTCGCTACAAGTTCACTGTCATACTAACTAAGACTGTGCAATTAATCGATATTCGGTTTTGATTTTGACCTCCATGATTACATGAAAAACAATAACTGGGATAAAACAGTTAAAATACGTCACACATCTATCTAAATTTCTCTACATTCATACCTCATCAAAGCCCAACTGCAGTAAAATCACATAAATTGACTTTTGCAGCATGTGACGTGATTGTTGCTTGTATTTTTTAAGTGTTTATTTTCTATTATTAGGTACTTTATTCATGTTTTTAAAAGCACAAAACAGAATTTGTGCAGTTTAATGGATGTATGTCCCCATCAACGTCAAGAGCTTGTCTACTCCCTTGGTAAAACATTCATTCATTTCATCAGAAAGGAAACATGCTGAGTATTAGTTTATTTTTGGCAGTATATATGTATTTTCTACTATCAAATTGCATGTAATTGTTGACTTACATTTTATAAGTCTTTAAGAAACCACAGCTAATAATCTTCATTAAGGTTTTACTCTAAGGAATTAAAGGTCAGCAACATATTTTGTGGCCTGTGTTTGAGTAAAAAAAAATATTATTTAAAAATTGGGGTGCTGTCCCTTTAAGAGGAAATGATTCGTTTTTTTTGTACACGAAAGGTGGATGCACATTATAGATTTATTTCAGAAATATCTATGTACTAAATAAAAAGTTATCCAAATATATCTGTAAAGTCAAGTGTAAACCGTAAAAATATACAGGCCTTATTTAACACTGTAGATATGGCTGAAATAACCAGGAAGAAAAACAACTTGTGCAAAAGTTGGGTCCTGAAGTTTTTTAACATGTTATTTTATTTTCCTTTCCAGTTTGTGGCTCACCTATAGTAACATTTATCATCATGTTGTTGTTACTATTATTTACGTTATTTGTTTAACATGTGTACCTCTCACATTTTAATTACAAGGAAGAGCTTTTGCCCCTATAGCCCTGATCAAAAATTCATGATTGTGTAATATCTTTCACTGATGGCCAAAACTGCAGGAAGATCCCATGTGGGTGAAGTTTCTCAGGACAACACGAGGGTTAAAACTCTGCCCTCAAGCAGCAGCTTCCCCGTTTAAAGTCCGCGCATTCCCGCATCTGCAATGTTATGTCATCAGTATTCGGCTTCTCACCCCGCTCGTGTAGGTACTGTATCGCATTAGCTTTAATAAAAGATTAAATAAAAGAAAATGAACAAGACTGCGCGTACTGTGTTTTAAAGCAGCATGAATGCGGTATGCTGTAGTCCGGGTACCGATTCTAGTCACTTCCTTGTCCTGCGGAGAGCAGTGACGTCGGTGGACCGGTCTGCACGGTGGCTGTAACGCCGCAGAGGGAAACCTGTCCGCTCGCCCCGGACAAACGCTCCACGCCGGCGCGCGAACACACGGCAGCCGCTTCATCATCACCGCGGGCGGCTCGACGACCCACGCGCGCTGCATCTTAAAAATGTGTCGCTGTGGAGCACAAAAACGATAGGCTGGCACGGATACTGTGCGAGTTCAGCCGCACCACTGTCTTATGTGCCCGTGCGCGGTGCACCGGTGACCATGTCCTTGGCGAAGAGCGACGAGGACCAGCGATGGGTGCCAACGCACGTGCAGGTAACGGTGCTGCGGGCCCGAGGGTTGCGCGCGAAGGGCAAACACGGCACCAGCGACGTGTACACCATCATCCAGCTGGGCAAGGAGAAATACTCCACGTGCGTGATGGAGAAGACTACCGATCCGGAATGGGGCGAGGAATGCTCGTTTGAGCTGCAGCCAGGGATACTGGAGGAGGAAGGGCGAGACGCGTACCCACCCGGTAGTGGCGACCTGACCCTCACCGTTATGCACCGAGCTCTGATAGGGCTGGATGTGTTCCTGGGCCAAGCTGTTTTACCGCTGCATAAAGCCTTTCAGGATCGGAAGAGCAAGAAGAATGAGTAAGTTTGTGTTTTTTTTTTTTGTGTTTATATCAGTCTGAAGGAGCAGCAGTGGCTTTTACTGTGTGGAGGAATGAAGATTAATACGAGCCATTATCAGCCCTGTCGGATGTGTCTTACTCAGAGTGCTGCAATCTGCTCCTCTGCAGTCACGCCCTCTTAAGTGGGCCTGGATGTTGTTGACTGAAGGGAAAGTGGGGGAATTTTCTTTTGGTGTTTCCCTTTCTTTGGTTCAGGGGTGCTTTTGGTGGTACACCTTTCCCAATCCTCATGGAAGACCCCATTCAGATCTCCAGGTTCTCAAATGGGTGGGTCTCATGAGAGATTACAAATGTGTATTTTGGGGGCTTCAGGATCAGTGTCGAGAAACTCTTGGGTATTGTTATTTTTCACATGTACATGTTTGATTAATAGTAAAGTTGTGTATAAAGTGTTCAGTGTATCACTGATAATGATGATCAGACTAGATGTGCTGATACTTTTTTCTTGATTATGCAACATAGAAGCACAAGTTGGAAAGTGAAGGTTTGGGTCATGTGCTTTGAGGGCCCTTTATCTGTTATATTTGTTGATGTATTCTGTGGTTTAAAAATTATTGAAACATTTTGGGTAATTGGTGGCTATTTCATTGAACTTTTATTGGTTTTCATACAATCAGTTGCCCTGGGTCGACCTTCCTTTAGCATACTTTTCTGTTCTAAAAATGTGGTTCACATCTTTCATACAAATGAATGCATTTAAATCTTCTCATCTCACATGCTAAAGTTGGCTTAATAAGTCCATCAATCTATAATTTGTTGTACTGCATGATCATTTAAATTAATTATTGATGACTTAAAAGTTAGTTGTTTTTATGGCAGATGTTTCAAGAACAAAAATTGCATATACTTTATACATTAGTGGGTCAAGACAAAATGTCTAGCATAAAAAAAGTGTAACGCATTGTAAAACCCAAAAAGTTAAGGTACTGAAACTCAAACCATTTAAGGAAACAGATTGCAAAAAACAATTTAAATTCAAAAACTAATCCCAATGAGTACTGTAAACCTAATCCATTTGAGTAAACAAAGCAATTTGAGCACTGTAAAACCTAATAAATAAATAGAACTCAAACTAACTGAGTACTGTAAAACCCAATAAGTTAAGGCAACTGAAACCATTTTGGGAAACTGATTGCTATTTGAGTTAAACTAATCTATATGAGCACTGTGAATTTACTCCATTTACAGCAGTGGTTCTCAAACTTTTTTCACCAAGTACCACCATAATGACCAGTATGAAAAAATAGCGTTGTAGGCCTAATTAAGCTGTGCACAGTTTAAAAACGAGGCAGATTAATTTCTATCATTAAGAATATGTATTATTGTCAGTCACTTAAACATTTAAAATAGTCTGAACATTAACTGTGCTTGCAGATATAAAAAAAAAACACGTTTAAATTGAAATGTGCTTTTAAAAGTTAATAAAAAAAGGCACTGATCTTAAAAAGTAAAAAGAAAACTGCTATACTTCAATCTAAAGCAGGGGTTCCCAAACTTTTCAGCCCGCGACCCCCAAAATGACAATGCCAGTGACTCGTGACCCCCAATATTCTCTGAGGTGGTGGTTATAAATACAGAAACCTTGTATGCAATGACGCGCACAAACACAGCAATAGACCCAAGTCTATTTTTTTTTTTTTATCTATGTCAGTGCTGTAAATGGGCTAGAAAGTTTAACCTGGTGTTACAAAATCTGCTGCATCTGACAGTATTGCTGTATCTTTAGTATAATGTAATTACCCGAGAAGTCGCAATCCAATAGAACTAGTAACTATAAGCTACTATAGTAACTATATAGTTTATAGTAACTATAAGCGACTATTTTTTTCTCTTCAGTAGGTTATTGATAAAATACAGTAAGTCTTAAGGTTTAATAAAAATTTATTGATTTTTGAAAATCACCAGGCGACACCCCCCCCCCCCCCCCCCCTTCATTGTCCCGCGACCCCTCGGTGGGTCCCGACCCCCACTTTGAGAACCTCTGATCTAAAGTATTCATAGTAGCCTATTCATCAAAAGCTGGAAATGTTGCTTGGACCTCATAAATATTGGCTATATGTCATATTCATACACTTTCTGACAAATCTTGATTTCTGACAGATATATGTTAAATGTACTTATGACAGGGTTCATACAGGCACAGCCTAATGAAAATCAAGGAATTTTAAGCACCTATTTTTTATTTTCAAGACTGACATGCTATGTTTTGAAGAAGTAAAATGTATTCTCAGCAACCCATAAAACATTCCATAGTAATTGATACAAATAAAAAGCATTAATAATAATAATAATAATAATTATTATTATTATTATATTTATTAATCATGTATTAATAATATAATAAACCTGCACTAAATGCTTGTGAAATCTTTTTTTGTACTCAAGTAAAAATACTATTACACTGCTAAAATAACACAAATTTTAGTAAATAATACTAATATTAGGTAAAAGTACAAAGTACTCTTTTAAAAAGTTCTAGTTGGTTACTTCTGAAAAAAAAAAAAAATCAGATTTTCATTATGAAATCACTTTTTTTTAAGTTTAAACCTGATTGAATGGTTTAATTGCTTAAATCCCAAAGGTACATGTATAGGAGTTTGCACTAACAAAGCAAGTATGGTCGATTTTTTTCCTTTCATGACAATTAATCTTTTTCAATAGCACTGGTAAAACTACCACATAATCTTTAAGGCCATAGAGACACTTTTTGCCCATTTTAAAAAAAAATATTTTCAAGCTTTGAAAGGTTTAATTAAAGTATATGATGAAAATATTTAAATTTGGCCTTTTATTTACATATTTTACACTATTTTTCTTTAAAATATGGCAATTTTGTTTCTTAAATAGCTGTACATCACATGTAGATTTTATTTTACACTTGATCTTAAACTAAAATACAAACTTTACAAAAAATACAAGTACACTGTCAGTAAAAAAAATAAAACAAATGACTTTATTTTACTTGAGGTATTTGAAATATGACAACAACACATTTATCAAAGCAATGCTTTAAGAGCCTTATTGTTAATTTTGACAAATAAACAATAAGTAACAACGGATTGCTTTGACCTGTAATGCTTTAAGACAGATCAGAATACAGCTAAATGTATACATCACACAAATACCTCCTCCAGAAACATTTCCAGCATAATTCTTTTGTCGTAAAGAAATAAAAAAGTTCCACCTTTGCTAAAAGCAAATTTCACTTCACAATACAGAAAAATATACGCATTGTCCATTAGCATTGTCATCGATCATGCATTAATCTAATTCTAAATACTTGATAACTTTGAATACTTTTGACTAAATTTAGTAAAGGAGCAAAGATAAATAATGTTTACTTTAATAGTGGAGAGATCATGATTGTATTCAATCTGAGCACACACGCGATCATGAGAGCACTTGCAGTTCATTTGAAAAAAGCTTATTTAAGAGCTTGCATATCTGTTTTAGCGATTTGCGTACATGAATGCGCTCTCGTGTTAAAATAAAGCACTCGCCACATTTGCAGAAACGAGTAATTGCGCAAAACCTCCATTCCCGCGCCGCCATACCGTGTTTAGAGGAGTGACAGGTCAGAGGCGAGTCGACTCGCTGTTGGAGAGCAAACGTGTATGTAGATCATCAAATAGGCAGGAAATATGTCCGCGGTTTAATTACTCTGCTAGACATCTCTATAGTGAAAACATCCAAGAAGCATTATTCCAACAAAATATTTGTTTTTAAGTTATTTTTTTCTGTCTCTGCAACTCAGAAAGCCTTTGTCCTGCCCTTACGTTTCACGCAAAACTTGACAAGGTCGACTGTGATTGGCCACTTTTCTTGTCAGTCAATTCATGCTTCATAATCTGATTTTTCAACAGTTTATGACACATTGCACTAAAATAAACATTCTAAGCACAGCGCTGTGATCGTACGCTACACAAAATAGCCGATGCAGATCACATTGATGTTATAGTACACATCAAAGGATTAAAAGTGTTTATTGTGTATTTCATTATTTGGCGATTCCTCCGCGTACCACTAGGAGGAGGCCCGTGTACCACAGTTTGAGAACCACTGATTTACAGCAAGTTGAAGTAATGAGGTATTTGATTAACTCAATAACTTCAACACAGAGTTCAAAACTCTTTTCAATTGAGTAGAATTAACTTTCAGTATATTTTGAGTTAACTACACATTTTATTTGATAAAGTTGACTCTTGGGTTTCACAGTGCATCTTTAATGGGTCACCACCCTTACATTAGAATGTCTTGACAAATTATTTTTACCATTATTTACAAAAGACTAAAGACTAAAATGTCTTCCTGTGTAACAACAGTTTATATACCACAAAAAAGTCAGAAGAATTTAATCAATAAACACTCGATGACAAGTTAAAAGACCATGTATGGACCACAAAACCTGTCACATGGGTCAATATTGTGAAATAAATAAGCTTTTGGTTGATGTATGGTTTGTTATGACAGAACAACATTTGAAAGAGATACAGTACAAATTTGAAAATTTGAAATCTGAGGGTTAAAAACATAAAACCATTGAGAAAAAAACTTAAAAGTTGCAATGCACATTACTAAACAATTTAAGGTTTTATATATTTACTGTAGGAAATTTACAAAGCATATCCATAAAACATGATCTTTATATCTTTAGAATTTTGCCATAAAAAAAACAATCATTTTGACCCATATTTTTGGCAGTAGTCAAATTTTAGTTCATACATGTTTTAGCGATAGCCAAAAATATCCCCTTAAAATATACCCTTGCAACAAGGTTTTTGGTCCAGGGTCACAATAAAAAATACGAAAATAAAAAAATGACAGGTTAGAATAAGTATTCTGTTTTAATGTTATGCAAATATATGTTACACTGTATGACAGTTACACCTATATTTTAATATTCAGTAAAACACACACACACACACACACACACACACACACACACACACACATATATAT